CAATAACAGTTCAAGATGTACCCAGAACACCAATATTGTAAAATGTTCGTATATGTCACAAAATCAAATACTCCCGGCCTCTTTATTCACTGTCCTATATTACTTAAAAGATCTCCTATGCCAAATATCTCATTGCATTAGATCATATGAAGTAGGAGCAGCACGTATCCATTTGCATTTGGCCCCTTGAACCTGCTGTGCCAGTCAAGATCATGATTGAACTCTAAATTTTCAACCTGCCTTCAAAACCTAGTGATCACCTTATAAATCAAGAATGTATCTATCTCAGCCTTGAGTAGATTCAATGACATATTTAAATAATTGTTTGCAAAGTTGGCAATCTTACATTTTCCCATGTTATACTCCAACCGTCAATTTTCTGCCCACTCACTCAACATATCCATAAACCTTTACGGACTCTTTATATCCTCCTCATAATTTGCTTTCCTAGCTATCATAGTATCATCTATAAATCTGGCTACAACACTGTTGGTCCCTTCATCCAAGACATGAATATAGATTGTCAGTAGTTGATAGATACTCTATGTTAATATTTCATAACCATACCACCTACAAGATGCACTGCAGAAATACACCATGGCTTCTTCAATAGCAAACCCATGACCATGAGCATTTAAAAGGTCTAAGGCAACAGATAAATAACCATCACGTGCAAATTCACCTCCAAGCCACTCATCAGCCTTACTTGGAAATATATCATTGTTCCTTCACTGTCATTGGGTCAAAATCCTGTAACTGCTTCCTCAAAAGCAATGTAGATCTGCATTTATTTGCAACTGTTCAAAATGACAGCTCACTATCTTCCCCTCAACAGCAAGTTGGATGAATAATAAATTCTAGCACAGCCAGCAATGCGCACATCCCATGAACATTAAAAAAAAACATGATTAACTCTTATTTTCTGCAATAATGTTTTAATGTAACAGCTAATCAAATGCTTTCTGGAAATCAAAATACATTACATCTATTGGCACCCCTTGTCTATCCTGTTTGTCACATCTGCAAAGAACTCGAATAAATTTGTCAGGTATGATTTTCCCTTTCATAAAACTACATTGTATATACAAAACTATATTGTATATACAAAACTATGTTGGATTGTGATTTTCTAAATGTCGTACTGTTACCTCTGAACTAATATACTCTAAATTATGCCCAATGATAAATGTTAGATTAATTGGCCTATAGGTTTTCTGCCTTCTGTCTCCCTCTTTTCCTGAATAAATGTGTTACGTTTGAGTTATTTTTTCAATTTGTTGGGTCTTTTCCAGAATCTAGGGTATTTTGGAAGATTGCACAAATGCACCCATTATGTGTGCAGCTACTTCTTTTAAAACTCCAGGATGCAAGCCATCAGGGTCCAGGGGACTCATCATCCTTTTCTGCCAACAGTTTTATTCGTACTAGTTTTTCTCCAGTGGTTACAATCCCTCAATCCTTTTTGCCCTGTGCTTTTACCAGTGCTTGGAATGCTTTTTACACTTCTCCACTGTGAAAACAGATACAAAATGCTTGTTCAAAGTCTTTATCATTTCCTTATTTCCCATTTCTAATTTTCCAGTCCCATCCCCTAAGGGAGTGATTCACTTTAGCTACTGTTTCTCTTTTTATATATTCATAGAATTCTTTACCGTCTGTTTTCATATACTTGCTGATTTTCTCACGTACTCCAATTTCTCCACCTAAAGCTTTTTGAGGCATTCTTCACAGATTTCCAAAGTTTTCCTACTAATCTTTACTGTACTGTACATCTTTCCTTTTCATTTGATACCATCCTAAATTTGCTTAGTTGGCCGCAGGTGGCTCATTCTCCTCACGGTCTTTCTTTCTTAGTGGAATATCTCATATTTTAGTAAATATCTACCATTATTTCTCTATCGGCCTACTTTTTGACCTATTTTCCAATTCTACTCAGAGGACCTGTGACTTTGCATTCTTGTAATTGCCTTTCCTTAAGTTCAAGACTTCAGTTTCAGATCCCCGACACATTCAAACTGAATACGGTGTTCAATTATATTGAAATCAGTGTTACCAAGGGGATCCTTTGCTATGAGGTCATTAAATTATTCTTGTCTCTTCACACTAAATAATGATGTAGCCTCTTCCTTGTGTGGGAGAAAGATATATTATTTTGAAAAAAAACTGTACCGAATACACATTATGAACTTATTCTGCAGCTACCTTTGCCAATTTGATTCGGCCGATCTATCAGATTAAAGTCTCCCATGATGGTTTCAGCGCTATTGAAAGCCCTCATTACTTCTTGATTTTTACTACAATGCAAATGATTTGACTATTCCTGAAAACCACTGACCTCTTCCCTTTGCTAGTTCAATGTTTTTTTCCCTTTTGCTATTTCTTATCTCCACCCAAACTGATTCTACAACTTGATTCTCTGAATTAAAGACCATTGCACATGGCTACACTGACCTCATCCTTTTATAAGCAAAGTTACCCATGTTTTTCTTTCTTCCTGTCATTCGGAATCCTTTTCCAGGCATTCATTGATTCACAGGCGCAATTCAGAGCAGTGAAGGGTTCTAAGATACCTCATGGGACAGAAAAACTCGGAGCAATAAGCTCAGATAGACCTGGACACCGTTGCGAGAAGTTGTAGATTAATGGTAAAGAATAAGCTTAGGGTCTGATGCAGGCAAGAAACAATTCTGGCAGCCATGATACAGCCTTTCTAAAATGAATTTAAAATGCTATAATGTAATAGCTCACAACTTCAGATCACCAACAATCGTGACAAGGACTCATCAATTCTTGTAAACTTCTGTAGAGAAGGTCAAGCAAGTAGAAAGACAAAAACTGAAATCTTTTAAGCTCCGAATCATCAGAGATGGGTCAAATACAGGATAAGTGTGTATCAGGATCCTGCAGAAATCCAGATGTATAAAAACAAATGTGAATTATTCAGAACTTAAAATTTCCAAGGGGCCAATTCCTGTCTGCCTGCAACCCTCCAAATAAGTTCTGAACCCTCAGATCAATGCAGAGACTGAGACCGAATACATGCCACTTACCTGTCTACTTACCCTTGAGATGTTGGTCAGTTTAATAACTGGTCTAACGGCTAGGTCACTGATATTCATCCCACCCGGGCGACCCTATTAATACCTTGACATGACCACACCCCTACAAATACTCAACTATCCTGACTTGACCCAAATAATCCTCAAAGACCTGACTCTCTCACACACCAAGCTGACCAAAACCAATTACCTTCCAACCATCTGACCACTCAGTACCCACCCCTTCACCCAACTGCACCCTCCCAACGCAAATCACTACCCCATCCCCCTTGCCACTAACTCCACACCCAATCTAAAATCACCCTGACCACCAAATTAACCCACCAACCCAGTGACCCATTCACCCACCTTGCCAAACTCATGCACCCACCTATTCACTGATCCACTCACTGTCCCGTGCTTGTTCATTAAAAGACAGGACCTCAGAAAACCTATCTGAATAGGGCAGCTGGGGCCACAACAAGGGTCTGTGTCCTTTCATTCCCCTGATTCTTCTCTGCTGGCTGGTCTTAAGCAGGACAGATTGCACTGCCCACTTTTCTGTCAGCTGAAATCAGAAGTTTGCAGGAGAAATGGGCAGTAGCATTCAGTCAGTATAACCTCCTCAGACAATGGCACAGTGGTTCAGTGGTTAGCACTGCTGCCTCACTGTGCCAGGGACCCAGGTGCAGTTCCACCCTCAGGCAACTGTCTACGTGAAGTTTGCACGTTCTCCCTGTGTCTGCATGGGGTTTCCTCCGGGTGCTCCAGTTTCCTCCCACAGTCCAAAGATGTGCAGGTTAGGTGGATTGACCATGCTAAATCGCCCATAGTGTTCAGGGATGTGCAGGCTAGGTAGATTAGGCATGGAAATGCAACGTTGTAGGAACAGGGTGGATGGTAGGTCTGGGTGGGATGCTCTTCAGAGGGCTGATATGGACTCAACGGGCCAAATGGCCTGTTTCCATGCTGTAGAGATTCTATGATTTTATGTGGCCAGTATTGTCACTGATTGGTAGATCTAGACCAATTGGAATAACACTCATCATCTTCCTTAGAAGACATTTATAGTGGAAAATACATATGAGTGATGTATGTATGTTGGAATGCTATGAACCTTTCATACTAATATTCACTGCCAGCAGAAAGTTAAGGCCACAAATTGAGATTCAGTTTCAAACATTAGCTTTGCTATCACTACTTGAGCATTCACTTGGGGCTGGCGGCTAATTTAGAATGGTTCTGAGTCTAATGATGACCACGAATCCATTATCGATTGTTGGAAAAACCATCTAATTTACTGATGCACTTTAGGGAAGGAAACTGCCATCCTTACCTGGTCTGGCCTACATGAGACTCCAGACACACTGCACTGGTCTCTGGACAATGAGGGATGGGCAATAAATACTGGCCTAGCCAGGAGAGCCGTCATCCCACGGATGAATAAAGAAACGTTCAAGGGGTTGTACTATCAAAAGCAGAAGGAATGGCTTATTGTCTACTTGATGCTGAAATGGTGGATGTTGGCATTGATTCTGCCTTGGTACCACTGGTCCAAGTGAACACCTGGTTAAGGATAGCCCTGATGTTGTTAGATGGTCAGCAATGGTGATGCCAATGAAGGTCCTGGGCCAGCATCTTGGCTTTCTCTCCCTCAAGGTGCTCACTACCTGGACATTTTGTTCAAGTACTTAAATAATAATTGTCACATCCAACTCCAAGAACATCCAAACACTTGCTCTTCAACAAACATTTCTGCGATTATCACTGCAAAGTAGGCTTTAGACCTGTTGACATGCATAAATGGGATTTTAACTAAGCATCCACCATTTCTAGTGAGGAGAGAGAGAAGCTCTGAGGAAATTTTTAGCCAATGGCTTTTGGTTATGTGTTTTTGAAAGGTCTGTCTGTGGACTGGAGAAATATTTAGAAATCTTTCCCTCATCATTTTTGTTTGAACAGATGGAAAAAGTTCTTGTGCAACATTGTATCTGGAAGGCCTACATGGAGACAAATTTGTTAGTCAACAGTTTCATCAAGAAATATTTTCGACGAAAAGGATACTTTAATCCACCCTTGAAAAGTTGAACAACAAAACTTTACAAAAATGCAAGGAAATGAATAACCTTTCCCTGCAATAAAAAAATTGACTAATAATATTTTCCATGCATGTACATAGGGTTTAGATGCCAATTGCACAGCCTTAGAACCATTATCTGAAAAAATAAACCAAGGACCATCTTGTAACTCCCAGTATGCACTTATATATTCAGCTTCCCAATTGTTTATTAAAATTGATAAATGTTATTGGCTGTTTATAGCATATGCCAAGGCTTCCGGCCCTCTAATGAAAATGACTGTGACTGAAACTATTTTTTAATAAAAGCTAACATAACCAGAGGATACGTGGTGCAGCGATAACAATCCCTGCCTCTAAGCAGAAGCTCAGAAATTCAAGTCTCGTTCCAGGACTCAATGGCCAAAAAATGCATTTACAATCAACTTGTAAATTCTTCCAACACATGTCAATGGCATGCTAGTCAGCCATATAATAGAAAGAAATTGAAGCCCCTACCAATGCTCCAGACTAAACATGCCTGTAAGTGTGCATGTTGCCAATCAGGCTCCTTGGGGAGATGGCTGGCTGACCAGTGTGAATCCGATATGGGGAGGCAATGGCCCAGTGGTATTATCGCTGGATTGTTAACCCAGAGACCCAGGTAATGTTCTGGGCACCTGGGTTTGAATCCTGCCATGGCAGATGGTGGAATCTGAATTCAATAAATATCTGGAATTAAGAGTTTAATGACGATCGTAATTCCATTGCCAATTGTTGGAAAAACCCATCTGGTTCGCTACTGTCCTTTAGGGCAGAAAACTGCCATCCTTACCTGGTCTGGCCTACATGTGAGGTATTCTCTCCTACAGAAAGCTGTTGGGACCGGTTCGTTAGATATATTGAAGAGGGAGCTGAATGTGGCTCTTGCGGCTAAAGTGATCAAGGGGATATGCAGAGAAAGCGGGAGTGGGATACTGAGATTGCGTGATTAGCCATGATCATATTGAATGGTATGCAGGCTGGAAGGGCCGA